ATCCCGTTCGGGTGGTGCCTGACCAACCCTTGATTCCTCCGGCGAACGGGAGTTCCTGCGGTGTCGAAGAGGAGGCGAATGGGAGCGCGACCGAGAGTGCGAACGCGAGCGCGGCCTCCGAGACCGCGATCGGCGATCCCGTTCGGGTGGTGCCTGACCAACCCTTAATTCCTCCCGCGGACGGGAGTTCCTGCGGTGTCGAGGAGAAGGCGAATGGGGTGACCGAGAGTGTGAACGCGAGCTCCGCCCCCGAGACCGTGATCGACTGCGTCTAGATCTGAGTATTGACGGGGCATACACAACTCGAGGCTCAACGGGCGCCTGCTGAGACGGGATGATGGGGACGGCGGTGGGATACGCGTTATTTGACCATGGGTTGTAGGCGGATTGCGCAGGCGGGGCCAGAGGCACACCAAACATGGGAGTCGCAAAAACCGGAGCATTCCAAGTCGGGGCGTTTGCCAGGTCTGCATCTTCGGCGGGCTGGGGCCGAGACGGACGTGTACGCCAACCTCGCCGTGCCTCGAAAGGATTGACGGCGACGAATAGCGGTTCGGGTGGAGACCCCCAGAGGTCCGCGTGCTGACCGAAACGACTAATACCCGGCGGATTTTGGGGCATCGGATTTGGGACTGACCTGTACTCTTGTGGTACAGCATAGTTTCCACCTGAGGGCACCGTCCACGGTGCTGGTGCAGACTGGGGCTGGCGAGGACGGGACCCAACTCCTTGTGCTGTGTTTCCTTGCGCGCCGGTGTTCCAAGCGTACGATTGATTTGCACCTGAGGTTTGAGCTCGAGGAATCGCCGGGACTGGTCCCCAAGCCGGAGGTGGTCCATTCGAAGCCACAGATGCGTTGTCTGAATCCATGCTGTCCTATTCAGGGCTTGGCTGGACTGGATGCGGCACGCTGAGTTCGACGAGCAAAGTGAAGAGAAGAACCAACCGAAGTGATCAGATCTTTACCCAATCAGCGTGTAAACAACGCGAATCGTCGCGGTCGAGATAATCGTAGTGGTAACACTAGCTAAAACCATTTTTTTGTTTTGTTTTGGGGGTGTAGGTGAAGAGAGAGAGGTAAGCTACTGGATTGAATATGTGTGTAACACTGTGTTTACAAAGAAACGCGGTCATGTGGCTTGTATTGGTCGCGTCAAACGAAGGTGTACTATCGGGAAGTTTCGAGCCATTGGTTTGAATAGTGCCAAGATACTAGGTTTAATGTACGATCCCGAGAAATGTAAAAGAATTGTTAGTTCCATGCATGTTGGTTGAATCGTGTCAGCCAGTCATCGATCGTCTCAAGGTCAGGACGGGAAACAAGACCCTCGCCCATCCTCTGAGATATCTTCTGAAAATCATCGACATCTCCTCCACCCTCCTCGATCACCCGCTTGATTAGCTTGCAGACCTGTGGATGTCAAGTTGGGACCGTTGACTTTCAACTGATAAAAGTCTGCAAACCTGTTTGTGAGGGGCTTTCGGATCCTTCCACGCTTTGAGCTACACCAATTCATCATCGTGAGCATTCCTATTCATTCCAGGAGAGAGAGCAAAATGTGTTGCAACGTACCTGGCACTCAGCGTTGCAATATTGGAACACGCCGCACCCGCTGCATCTGTTAAACTTCATGTCTCCCTGCCCTGGTTCCGCCCTCGCTCTTGAGCAGTCAATTTCAGAGCATGCGTTGCGTTTGAGATAGATGGCGAGAGTGTGGAAAACACTCTCAGGGCCCTCTTCACGTAAGGAGCGAAAGCGGTAAATCCAACCGGTAATCTGCAACACCTCGGCCGGCGAAATCTTCAGCGCGCTCCGTCCCGAGGGTTGAAGAGTGTTTAAATCGCCTCCCGCTTCTTCAACAATCTTCTGCATCAATTTGCAGATATCGCGATCATCACCAAAAGCGTGGGATCGATGCGAGGCCTCGCGAGGGTCTGCAGAGCTTCAAAATGCATCAAAAGGCACGAAAGGTTTCATAAGGTCTTTGGTCTGTCAAACGGCCTTACGCCGGAACTATTTTTCTGCAGACCCATCAAAATCCTTCAAAAGGTGTTTCGTCTTTCGGCTGGTCTGTGAGTTTTGGGCACCAATGTGTCGGTCTGCGCATTGTGCGAAAGCCCTACAGCTCTTTGGAGATTCAATGAAATGCCGCCATACGCTCCGGACGCTTATATTGTTCGATTGGTTCATGTTTTCCATAAATTCAGCAAGACATGGATTTCTGCATTACAGTACATCGGACTTCTAGCTACGGCCTAACTGATAGCGGCACTTGGTTCTGCAGACCTTGAGAAGGAGAAGTATTGAGTGACAAAAGAAAGAGATGTAAGATAACGATGACGCACCCTATAGGGCCCATGAGCGAGCCGGACGCTCATGCTGAACACGCATGGCTGCTCTGGAGTAGGAGTTGAAGGGACACTGTTTGTCTGCCTCGGCGCCGAGCGAGCGTGTGCATGTCGCGAAGCGGAACATGGACCGGCGATGAGGTGGACGCAAAGGATCGAGTGGGGTATGAGGGACTTGGAGTAGATAGGGTTGCAGTCAAGGGGTTGCAGTCGAGGGATTGAGGCTGTTCAGAGCTTGATGATTTGAGAGGAACGACAGTCGGCGCCAAATTGCGGCAGGTCTTGAGTACATCGAGCTTGAAGTTCCATAGGGCTTCGGAACTTGAGACGTTGACGCGTTGACGCAAGTGCCTTGAACACCACAGAGTTCGGAAATCAGAGGCCCAGCAATAGAGAAGATTCGGAAGGGGACGGTGGGGGAACGGGGGAAGAGGGAAGATGAGGGGAGAGCAAAGGCCACGTCGCACGTCAACCATCTTTGATGGGATCATGATCGCGCACGGACCACGAGCGGAGTCTGAAAGACTTCACACGGATTCGTGTTTCCGCGTTTCCATGTCAGTCATCCGTGTCTCAACGTTTCAGTTAGCGGTATATCCCGGATTCTAGCAGCGAGTTGTCAGTGGTATCCCAGTTGCTCACACAAAGCCACGGATAGCGTGCAGCCGCGCTATGACGCTCAAATTCGGAGCGAGGTGACTGACATGTCCCAAAACGGTACCGGGCGAAGCCATACGATGAATTGTGGATGTGACGAACGGGAGACATATCTTGGGAGAAGATGCACATTCCCTTCAAGCTTGTGAAATGGTGTTACAAAGTATGCAACTTACTGAACTGCTTTGTACGCTCGGTGCAAGGACAACATAAGGGTGATGGCAACTACGCAATGCCTGTACAGAGTGGCGGGCACCCATGTATTACATTGCAGTTCCATGGATGCCCTTCGACGAATTGCGAACTTGTTATACAGGTTTCGTGCGGTATGCGAGGCCTTTTGAAGCCTTACAAGACCCTGCCGACGGCTATCAGGATTGCCATCATCAAAGGGGATCAGAGGGATTTTCCACATTTGGTGATGATGGGCATATCTGGGATCTTTCCACGCGAGTTTCTGGTGCTCTTTCGAACACCAACACAATATTTTGCAGTCTCCGCAACGCCGCAGCTTGGAAGACGTTTGAAGGGATTCAAAACAACCAACCATGGAACACCGCTCCTCCATCTTGAGAGCCAGAAGGTCCTGGCGTACCAGAAAAAGCGGGTCAGAGTAATGCTTTTCCCAAGCGTCGGATATCTCCCGCGCGCCAGATTCCAATGCATCTCGAGAGACTCCATACTTTTGGTTGAGATCCAGAATCATGGTGGCGGTAACCTCTCGAAAGATTTGAATGGAGGTGTCGCGGGGCCCGCCACTCTGCGGATCCTTCTCACCGCCTGGAGGAAAGAGTCGTGATCGGGTATAGAGCTCCAAGACAGCATTTGCGCTCTCGAAGAACGGCTTGTCCTCATTGCCCCAGAAGCGGGAGACTTCCGTAGATGTAAAAGCGCCACGAGTACGCCGCGACGAGAACTGTACCAGGAATAACTCCACATAGGAGATACGCTGATTGAACGAGCGGGCGACGAGCGCGGCAGTCTGCGGCGAGAACCAGGGCGCTTCCATCCGCTGCCCAGCCTCTGCACACGCTCGGCGTATGGTCGCGACCACCAGCGCAGGTAATGTATTGGAAGCGACCATGTTGGGGACGATGAGGGTGCGACAGAGACGAATGAGCTGGGAGAGCAAAGCGAGGGCAGATGGGGCGGGATCGGGTATGTGTTCAAGCCACTGTTCGAGGGATTGGATAGTGACGTCCGGACCGTGGGGAAGCAGATCGGCAGGCTTCCTTGGCCACATCTTGATTTCACCCTTGGCTGTTTTTGTAACAGACAAAGGTTGGAGATAGTCGAACAAGCCCGCGAAAAGGTTGAACACAACGCAGTGGAAGGGCGTCATGGAAGTGGGAGCTGTCGCGCCGAGCATACGCTCCCATCTGTCATGATAAATTTTCCCGCCGATATCGTGTTGCTGCTTGCAAGCGACGTCCACCTTCGTGGGACACCTGCAGTTGTTCATCTGGATTTGGAGCTGCCGGAATTGTTCGGTGGTCCTCTTGGCCGTCAAAAACGCCATGACGGTGGGCCACACTGTATCCACGTTGGTCGAGCCACTTTTTTCTGTTGAACGGTTAGCGAGAAGACTTTGACATCGAGGAACATAGAGGACTGTCAAAAAAGTTCATAGTAGGGAGAAGTAGCGGTAGTGCGCAAACTGGGAGACAATAAGGGTCTCCCAGCATTTGTTGGGTAAGACGAACAGCCTGCGCCTGGTCCATCGGCGTCGTCGTGATATAATAATCTGCAGGGAAAGGATTCGACATTGAGCCAGTGGTGGTGGTTTGAGAGCAAGCTTGGTGCATCACCATTGGTGATCTACTGATCATCGCGATTGATTGAAAAGTGTTACTGTAAAAATCGCAAAAATATTGGTTCAATTTAATTATTACCGTTGAGCCGGGTCAAAACTGGTCAAAATTCCATACAAGAATTCCGGCGTGTGTGAATAGCGGTAAAGCGCAAAAATAGTAGTAAAGCGCAACAAAAGAGAACTCTCGACCTGGGAGTCGAACCCAGCTTTCGCGCGCAACCGTTACTACGATGACAAGCGCGTGTACTGACCGATATACTAGTCAAGAGTGATAGTGGAGGATTTTGATGCTCATTGAATCACACAAGTGTAGGGAAATTTCATGAGGTATCTGGCCATGGGAGGCTGAATATATGCGAGGAGGCCCATTGTCGAGCTCCTGGGCTAGGAAAATGTTCACATACTTATGCGCTGCTGAAGCCTTCCGCTAAGTTACTGATAAGCCTAGGCTTCCGTAAATCGAACCACGATTACGAGATGTTCAAAAGTTGAATCAATGGTTGAAGTTTGATAAAGTTGAGCAGCCTGGATTGAATCTCGGAGGTCGCATCTCGTGTATTCACATACATACTGTAATGTAATGTCACAATCTGTATTTCGAGGGTCCGACTTGAAACAGGGTTCCAGAATGAAAATTTTGGGCACACATACGAGAAAACTTTCGTGATGTGAGTGCCTTCCCAATATTCTGATTTTGTACAACCTAAGTTGAAGACAAACAAACGAATTTGAACTCTGAACAAATCAGGCGGTAAACACTTTCCCCTTGATGATATCGGCCCCTTGAGTAACAGTCCGTGAGCGGTACTCCGTCTAATGATTGATCAAATCTTACCGAGCTCCCCAAGAGCGTACGCAGTGGCTATTCCGCAAATCATGAGCAACAGGTGATGATAGAATAGTATGCAGTAAGCCTTCACCTTGTAAGTGAGCCCCAATGTGCAGCGGAACAATGGAGATGTCAACAACACGAATGTTCGTTGTGTTGTACACCTATCGGGTTTAGTGTGATACACTTTTGTTTTTGTAGCAATACACCGAACCTTGAGGTGGTTGTCAACGACGCCTCCATCCACAAGTGGGAGCATAGAGCAGGAGCCGACAGTGTCTGACGATAATGAGATAATAACCGGCCAAGCTTCGAGCAACGTACGCCAAGTGGTGCTCAAAGTAGACTTGAGGTAGTCTAAGAGAATTTGTCAGGAATGGCCTTCATTTAGCCACGAACGGACCCGCAATTTGCTCATCGGTTTGAACATCTGGCCCGGGACGAATTTCTACTCCGGTCAAGAACTTTTTTCAATGGCTCCTGGTCAATGATCTTGCGGCAAAACTTGATCTGTTCAACTAGCTGGAGGAGGTCTAATCCCAGTTTGATCAGACAACATGCAAGAAATAATTCTGTCGGACCGTATTCGCATTCGAAATACTTTGGATCGATGTTCGGCGGCACGAGTGGGTCACTCGACGCAATATGCTAGGCAAGCTATTAGTTCCTGTTGTAGATCTTTGTGAAATTACAAACGATAGATCCGCGCGAGAAGGGATTATTCAGAAGCGCTGTTGTCGTAAGATGCTGTTTGCCAGGCGCAGGTAAGTCTAGAGAACATGTGTCAGTAAATGACAAGTAAGTACAGAACCGATGGGATCACTAGGTATAGGTTTGAACAGCGGCCACAGGATAAATTCGCAGCTGGGCTGATTATCCTGCAAGTGTTTGAGTTGAATATCATATTGCTTCTGTAGGGATGGCGGGATCCGTTTCGAGGATATCCCTCCGTATATGGACTTCGTAAGACACTCGTGGAGGGTTTCGTGGGCAGGACTGATCGATGCCAAAGGCACGAATGAGACGCATGTCGGGGCCATACCGAAAAAAGTCGTGGGGGAAGTCTCGCTGAAGGCAATGGTTAGAGAAGAGAAGATGACGAGCTTGAAGAACTCAAACTAAATTTCGGAGACTATTTCCGGCCGCAGCTCTACGGGGAGTCAGCGATTTTACAGACAGAAATATGTGCTCTACCAGCATAGACACTGGCGAAAACATGCTCCTGCACATTTTCCCCAACGCCTGGTAGGCGAACTCGGGTTTGAATACCGGCTCTTTCGAGAATTGCTGTGTTCCCGATGCCGGAGAGTTCCAGTATCTGTCATTTCAGCACGGTCAGATACGGGTTTCGTTCGTTGAACACACCACACCTGAGGAGACATAATTGTCCTGGAAAAATCGAACGACCGCGTTAACACACGTGCATTGGAAGTAGAGGGATACCTTACCCAGCGGAGAGAATAACCTCTTTGCCAACCTTGACAATATGATGGGCTTCTTCGTTGAGAAATACCACCTCAACGGCCGTAGCGCAGCCATTTTCATCCACTTCTGTGACGATTTTCGTTACGTGGCCGCAGACGACAACCATAAGGTTCTCGCGGGATGCATTGGGCTGATAGTATCTCTGGGAAGTACGGAGTTCAGAATCAAACAGGAATTCAAAGGAACTCGTAACGTTTGCCGAGTAAGACCTGATCCCCTCTGCGGGATCAATGGTCATGGGAGTCAACCAGGTGCCGGTGGTCTACGAACTCGTTGAGTTGGGCACTAATGGTCAAACACACTCACATTGCCGGCGAACTTGAGTGGGAAAAGATAAACACGATTGCACCAATTTCGCACAGTGCTCACCGGTTTTTCCGCGAGATGAATTCCAAGATTCTTCATCGCCTGATGCAACTTCAGTCAGAACTCAAAGCAGACGCAACAAGACGAACACCGACCATCTCATAAGGAAGTTCGAGAGTCGATGATACTGGCGGATAAGAGACAGCCAATGGTCCTGTCGATGAAAGACTTCAAGAGCGTCACCGTTACAGTAAAGGCGGTCTCCTACCATCCACTCCGTGATGATACAGGGCGTAATTCAATGTCTCGCTGTTCTTGACTGCAACCGGCTGGATGAACTGTTCCGACTTCGAACAATAGCGCTCAAGCAGCTCCCAGTTCCACCCTCGGTTTCCCAGCTCTTCGAACGCTAGTGTTCAAAATACGTTGGCCTTGTACGAACGCCGTGAGATGTAGTATGGGCCCCCACCGTCGATGTCTGACTTGGAAGGGCGATGGTACTGCATATAATTGAGAGCAGAGCTGCCACCGAGCCCCTTGCCGCTAGGCTCGTTTCAAGAACAGTCCAATGAGACACGGAGATAACTGATTACCGGTTGAAGGCGAAGGCCCTGCCTTTGCATGATTTTTGGGGGACCTGGAGAATGGCGCGAGTAAAAATTCTCGTCTACATGATTCGAACTCCGATTGTACTCACCGTTTGAAAGCCCCAATCGTACTGAGGGTTACCGAATCGGGTCCCAAATTGGGCGGGTGAGACTAGGAAGCTATCATCAACTCTACCAGGTCGGATAAAGTGCGCAGATACCAACGGATATCGGGATCATCCAGATTCGCGGGCCCAGCCTCGAGGACGAGCACGGACACGCAAGGATCCTCAGACAACCGAGTCGCGAGTGTGAGCCCTGCCGTCTAGATGTTCGGAGATATTGACTGAGAATTCAATTCGCAACGGAATTGGCTTACGCCGCCGCCTGGATATTACAGCTGAGAGATAGACCGGAAATAAGCAGCGAATGTTGCACTTGCCGATGATAATGTAGTCGAATGCCTTGCCAGCCACCTCTTTTGGCGGTAACATCATGTTGAGACGAGGAAACGAGAAAATAACGTTGGACGAGGCGGGTTGCTGGCAATCGCAGGCGTGGCAATGCTGCTTATCGACGCAGTCGATTATATACTCCCACGTGGGCGTCCGGGATTCGCCGGCTAACTTGGCGTTCCGAGTCTATCGTGAGATTCAAGAAGATGGTCGCCGTCGATGTAGGAGCTAGGCCGCTGACAGTGACGGCGACTGAACTTCAACTTGAACTTGGAATTGAACCAAGATCACGTGCGTGTTCAACTTGCTTCGGCAAATTTCTTTAATTTGGAAATTAAATCGTTCCCGTGTCCGCCTGGAAAGAGCGGCTCTCAGAAACCAACAGCTTTGCATGACAGAATTCGAGTAGGTATCTTCCCCGTAGAATTGAAACTGCAAGATGCACAAGTTGTGTTCCAGTGTTGGTCGAAGTTGATCCAGCTGGTTCCGGTAGCTCACTAGTAGTAATGAGCACCACCCAGAGAAGGAAAACGGGGCCGCCGTTTCGTAAAGAGGTTCATCATCAAATTTATCTGTCGAATAACGAATAAACATAGAAAGATGCACAGTACTTGTAAGACTTTTAGACGGTCACGGGCGCAAGGTACTCGTCGACATTAGCCTTTACCCTCGGGTCCACATTGGCCAAAATCGTTACCAGCTCGTCCCTATGGCTCAAATTCAATTTCTGAACCGCTGCACCTGCGACATAACTCACCAAAGGTGATCCTGCAACTTCTGGCCCTGCGCATCGAGCACAAAATCGCTAACCTCCACCACCTCTGCGTGCGAGATGTAGGCGCCGCGCAGCGTGTCGGGCTGGTCCTGCTGACCGACGGCGGCCCAGACAAGGCGGCGGCTGCCGACCTCGGTTGTAAATGCCAAGGCACGTTCCATGAGGTAGTCGACGACCGCCATGACGCCCGTGAAGCCGCGCCGCAGCTCGGAATAGCAGTACCCGGGGTTGACCGTGTTGACGATGAGCGGCGTGGAAGGCGGGAGGCGCGCGTTGAGGGCGCGGGTGAAGAAGACGTTGAGGACTGTAGTTGCAGGTTTGAGTTAGTCTCAAGAAGGATGGGATACCTGCGCACGCTTTGTGAGCATATATCTGGTGGCCATGATCCTGCGAATGTGCGTCAATTAATTATTCGTACTCTCGAGAAAGATTGCGCACTTGGTTGTGCAGTATTCCGAGCTCCCAAGAGTCTTGATGGTATCCGGATTCTCGCAGACGCGTTTTTCGATGTCGACCCAGTAATGCACCTCGCTTGACACGACGACGAGCCGGGGAAGCGTGGAATGTTCTTTCGCCGTTTTGATCAGAGCGGGAAGGAGGAGAAGGGCGACGAGGGGAGTCGAAAGGCAGTTGATCTGGAGACTGTGAAGGATTTGTTAGGTGTTAATGACTGGGTCGATAGAGAAACTCACGAGGATTCCCACCCGTCCTTGGTGGCTTCGTATTTATCCGTCGCGATAGCAGCGTTCTCCACGAGGATATCCAGACGGCCCCCATCGCGTTCAAACTTGTCCGCAAACTGCTTCACGGACTCGAAATCTGCGAGATCGA